TAAAATCGCACAACACTGCGTTCTTTTCACAGATCAGAGAGCAGATTTCTCTATTGATGACCAATGCTTACTTTAACTTTGGACAAAAAAAAAAAAAATTTCAACGGAACACAGCGTTTTGCACTTGCGTCCGAATACGGCAACAATACGGCAAGCCAGGCGTAGTTAGCTTGTAGCTTTGCTACTTAGCCCTCGAAGATAAGACTTTAACGTCACTTGCGCACAGTTTTTAACAAAAAAAAAAGTAACAATTAAATCTGACAACTCTGATTTACATCAGGACACAGCATTACTGTGGTTAGCCGGTAGAAGTCCGATCTCTATCGTAGGCTAAATTTCTATTGTTTCTACCGTGTACCGTATATATCGCGCATTCCTACTGGGGACTCCTTTATTCTGCTGGGGGACTTCAATGCCCACATGGGTAATGACAGTGTGACCTGGAGGGGCGTGACTGGGAGGAACAGCCTCTCTGATCTGAACCTGAGCGGTGTTCTGTTGTTGGACTTCTGTGCTAGTCATAGTTTGTCCATCACAAACACCATGTTTGAACATAAGGGTGTCAATAAGTGCACTTGGCACTAGGACGCCCTAGGTCGTAGATCGATGACTGACTTTGTAGTTGTGTCATCTGATTTGCATTTGTTTGTTTTGGACACTCGGGTGAAGAGAGGAGCTGAGCTGTCAACTGATCACCACCTGGTAGTGAGTTGGATCAGATGGTGGGGGAAGATGCCAGACAGACTTGGTAGACCCCAACGTGTAGTGAGGGTTTGCTGGGAACACCTGGCAGAAGAATCCGTCAAAAAGATCTTCATCTCACACCTCAGAGAGAGCTTTAACCGCATCCCAGCTGAGGTGGGGGGCATTGAGTCCGAGTGGACCATGTTCCGTGACTCAGCTGTTGAAGTGGCTGCCTTGAGCTGTGGCTGCAAGGTTGTCGGTGCTTCTCGCGGTGGCCATCCTCGAACTCAGTGGTGGACACCCCTGGTTAGGGATGCTGTCAAGTTGAAGGAGGAGTCCTATCGGGCCTTGTTGGCTGGTGAGACTCTGGAGGTAGCTGGGGAGTACTAGAGGGCCAAGCGGTCCGCAGCCTTGGCTGTTGCTGAAGCAAAAGCTTAGATGTGGGAGGAGTTTGATGAGGCCTTGGATAAAGACTCTGTCGGCTCCGAGGAGATTCTGGCAAACCGTCAGACAGCTGAGGAGGGAAAACAGCTCTTTACTAACACTGTGTTCAGTGAAGGTGGGGTGCTGTTGACCTCAACCATTGATGTTGTTGAGAGGTGGAAGGAACACTTCTCAGACCTTCTCAATCCCACTGGCATGTCTTCCATGGAGGAAGGTGAGTTGGGGTGACTTCGGGGTGTTCTGTCCATAACTGTAGCTGAGGTCGCAGAGGTAGTTTAAAAAGCTAAGTGGTGACTGGGTGTGGATGAGATTCACCCTGATTTCAATTCAATTCAGTTTATTTGTATAGCACCATATCACAACAAGGTTGTCTCAGGGCACTTTACAGGAACATACACATAAATAGAAAAGCCAATTGGTAAAGTTCTCTATCCAAGGAATCCAGCAGACTCATTGAATCTTCACTTCGTCACATTTCCTTAAGGCTCTGAATGTTGTGGGGCTGTCTTGGTTGACACACCTTTGCAACACTGCATGGACATCGAGGATAGTGCCACTGGATTGGCAGACTGGGGTGGTGGTTTCTCTCTTCTAAAAGGGGGACCGGAGGGTGTGCTCCAATTACAAGGGCATCACTCTCCTTAACCTCCCTGGTAAAGTCTATTCAAGGGAACTGGAGAAGTGAGTCTGATCATTGGTCGAACCTCAGATCCAGGAGGAACAATGTGGGTTCCGTCCTGGCCGTGGAACACTGGATCAGCTCTTTACCCTCACTACAGTCCTCGAGGGGTCATAGGAGTTTGCCCATCCAGTATACGTGTTTTGTGGACTTGGAGAAGGCTTTCAACCGTGTTCCTTGGGGTACACGGTGGGGGGTGCTCCGTGAGTATGGGATTGGGGCTCCGTTGTTACGGGCTGTTCAGTCCCTATTCAAGTGGTGTGAGAGTTTGGTTCGCATTGCTGGTAGTAAGTCGGACCCCTTCAAGGTGGGAGTTGGGCTCCGCCAGAGCTGCCTGTTGTCATCGATTTTGTACATAACCTTTATGGACAGAATTTCTCAGTGCAGCCAGGGGGCGGAGGGAGTCCAGTTCAGTGGCCTCAGGTTTCCATCTCTGTTCATTGCAGACGATGTGGTCCTGTTGGCGTCATTGTGCCATGATCTTCAGCTCTCACTGGAGCGGATCGCAGCCTAGTGTGAAGCTGCTGGGATGTGAATCGGCACCTCCAAATCTGAGACCATGGTCCTCAACTGGAAAAGGGTCGATTGCTCTCTTCAGGTTGAGGGTGAGGTTCTGCCTCAAGTGGAGGAGTTCAAGTATCTCGGAGTTTTGTTCGTGAGTGAGGGAAGTATGGAGCGTGAGATTGACTGATGGATTGGTGCAGTGTCTGCAGTATTGTGGACTCTGTACCGGTCCATTGTGGTGAAGATGGAGCTAAGCTGTAAAGCAAAGCTCTCTGTTTACCAGTCGGTCTACGTTCCTACCCTCACCTATGGTCACAAACTCTGGGTAGTGACCAAAAGAATGAGATTGCGGATACAGGTGGTTGAATTGAGTTTTCTCTGCAGGGTAGCTGGACTCTTCCTTAGAGGTAAGGTGAGAAGTTCAGTTATCTGGGAGAGACTCGGAGTAGAACCGCTGCTCCTCCACATCGAGAGGAGACAGTTGAAGTGGTTTGGCATCTGGTAAGGATGTTCCCTGGGCGCCTCCTTATGGAGGTGCTTCGAGCATGTCCGCCTGGAAGGAGACCCTGGAGAAGACCCAGGACATGCTGGAGAGACTATGTCTCTCTGTTGGCCTGGGAATGCCTTGGAGTCCTCCCAGAAGAGCTGGAAGAGGTGGCTGTGGAAAGAGATGTCTGGACCTCCCTGCTCAAGCTGATGCCCCCGCGACCTGACTTCAGACAGAGTGGAAGTTAATGGATGGATGGACAGTGGTGGATTTGGATGGAATTAATGGAACTTTAAGGTCATAAAAATGGGTTAGTTTACAACCTGACACCAGGTCAAGTTATAGCCAAACCCAATGCATTTTATGAGAAAAACTGACACTAGTGTAAGAGAAGGAGTTTGTCTTGAGAGATGCAAATGAAGGATGTCGGCTGTGGTTCAGATGATTCAGATCCCTTTAGATCAGATCACTGACACAAGCAGGGGGTAGTAGATGGCTGTGGCTCTTCACATATGATCCAGGCCCGGAGGAGAAACTAGGCGGGTTGTCACAAGAGCATTCTGACGGCCAGCAATGCATGCACTTAGATAGTGTCGGACTGAGTTGTGACTTGCCAGATTGGAGTTGAATCAACCAGGAGTGAACTAAGGAAGTGATGCTGAGAGGGCCCAGTCTCATGTCTCGCTGACGTGGGTGTGTGACAAAAATTACTTAGTTTCCTATACTTGCCAACCACTGACACCTGGTCTTGTGCATTGCTCGCAGTCAGAACTAGTTGTTTCTGGGGTTTGCGGTGAGCATTGTGTGATTTGTCAGGCCTGTTTGTCTTTACATATAAAGTGAGCTGATCTCAGAGCATTGTCTGATGAGAAGCAGCTGGTCAGGGCAGCGAGAAAATGCAAACAAAACTACAATTGTTCCAGCTAAAATTATAACGAAATTAAAATAAAACTTATAAAGATAGTAAAACAACTTGTAAGGAGATTGAGCAATTTTTATGCACCCAGGAGACAGTACAGATATATTGGCAGATCTCCATGGCTGTGCAGACTGGGAGAGTGTGTGCCTCTCCTGGGAAGCATAGGGGCACGTTCCCGCACCATCTGTTGGAAACAGTGGTGGTCTTTTTGGTTTTCCTCGGGCAACGGCATAAACATCAGATCTTCCTCCTCCAACATAAACTGAAACTAAATATCCACTCTGAAAACTGTGCTGTCTGTGACTGAGTCTGCTGACTCTGATTGTATGTGACATGAGCCGCAGTGGGAGGACATTCTACCCTGCGGTTTCTCTTTTAGTATAAAATGTCGTACATTCAGTGAGAAAAATACTGTCTACAATAATGTCAGCGATATCTGGCGTACTGCATCTTGTTGAAGTATAACCAGGCCTCAACGCTGGACTTGGCATTACAACACCGATCAGACAGTTGAGAAGGCAACAAAAAGGAAAGATTAAACGCAACTTTACAGAACTTAACAACCCTAAGGACATGACACAATACAGGAAATTAAATCCAGTCACTCCTTTAGCTCGTCTGGATTTTAAAGATCAAGTCAAGGTTCTTTATTGTCATTCACATCACATGTGGTACATGAGGTGGAACAAAATTGTGTACACCGGGTCCCAGTTACATCCAACAATAGCAAAAATATAAAGCTTAAAAGAAACCGTGATAAAGATCTAAGATATAAACTAATACTAAATGAACATCAAACGGTACACTAAAAGATCTTAAGATGTACTCTAATCACTGATGGTGCAAAACAATACACCGAACAACAGCAGCACGAACATGAGTCTTTGTGGGTGTATGAGTATGAATGAATAAATACAGCAGCATGAAATAATCAGTAGCATGAGCTCAGCAGCATGGGTAATCAGCAGCACATATCAACAATCAAAGTTGAATTACAGTGATTTTTTTCACAGTGTTAATCCTGATTAGGGATTTATGAGTCTAACAGTTTCAGAGATGAGGGCACAACTAAATATGTATTAGTGAGCAGCAGGTTTTGAACATCTACAACACTGGATTCTAATGAACGCGTCACGTGTGAACTCTTTAGCTGGTAGCTACGTGAATTATTATGAGGAGGACATACAGTAAATGATCCACCCTGAAGAGCCATTATGGCTGACCTCAGGTTTTGAATTATTCCGTTTGATTCTGTCTCCTGACTCAGATCTGTCCCTCCTCAGGTGATCCTGAAGCTTCAGGGCTCTCAGCTCCCGGACAGCAGCCAGCTGCAGCAGTACTCCATCAAATGTGAGGAGGAGGACAAGTTTCTGCTCATCTACACTCTGCTGAAGCTGCAGCTGGTTCAAGGAAAAACGCTGCTGTTTGTGGGAGCTGTTGACGGGAGCTACAGACTCAAACTGTTCCTGGAGCAGTTCGGCATCCCTGCTTGCGTCCTCAACTCCGAGCTTCCAGTTCAGTCCCGGTAAGAGCTCATGTTTGCTGTGTTGTCAGTGACATGGGTATTCATGTAAACTGAGGTACTGTCCCCGTCATCTTCTGCAAAATGAAGCTGTGGTTTTCTTCCTCTGGTCATTAGGAGTCACATCATCACCCAGTTTAACCAGGGATTTTATGACGTCATCATTGCCACAGATGAGCAGAGTTTGTCTGACCCTGGTGCTTCATCACAAACAAGTTCAGGCAAAGGAAAGAAGAAAAAGACATCAGAGAAACAAGGAAAGTGAGTCAGGTTACTGATGTTTACCACTGGAATGCTAAAACTGTTTTTTGTACAACATTCCTGTGTGAGTTTAAGCTGTGAAGTTCAGCAGGCCAGAAACAAATCGATACAGCTATGGATGGAAAGTAATTAAAATAAATTAGATGCCTATAATTTAATATAATTATTAACTTCTATTTAAGTGTGCAGATCCATTGAGATCACAGATCTCTTTTGCAAGGGAGGCCTGAACTTGAAGTCGGCCTAACGTTAATGTTTTCGGACTGTGGGAGGAAACTGGAGAAAACAGAGTATGTAAACTAGGTGTGGGCGATATGGCTCAAATATAATATTGTGATATTTCAGAGCATTCTGACAATAACGATAAATTTTGTGATATAACAACAACAACAAAAATGAAATCATAGTTATTTATTTGACAAAATTAACTTAACATGTTGCTTTGCAGTATTATATAAAATAAAAAAAACAAGGGGTAATTTTACTGAAATTACTTTATTTAGTAAAGTATTCAGTCTCAAAGGATAAAAATACAAATGATCCTTCTGTTATTTAGATTGAAAAAGTCTGCACAAAATATAGATCATTAAATCCACCACAAAAACTAAAGAGCATGTGAAGTTTCCCAAAATAACTAAATAAAATTAAGCTTAAGATCTGTTGAGCATTAATGTAACAAAATATATGTTGCCTTTAAATGAGCTATAACTTCCAGATACAAGGTGATCAGCTGACCCTGAAGCTTGTGGTGTTTCAGCTTCCTCTGTTCCTGCAGGAATGATTCATTTCTCTGATGCTCTGTCTTTCATCACCTGACTCTGTTCTTGGTCCATGGACTGTGGATCTCAAGAGACAGTTTAGCTGCGCATGTTTGTACCGGCAGTTTAGAGCGGGGGAGACCCTCACCGGCAGCCCAGAGCGGGGTGGGGAGAGAGAAAAAAGACGAGCTGTATTTGTACCAGCAGCTTAGAGTGGGGTGAAGGGAGAGACATTTGAGTTGTCTGTACCTGCAGTTTTGAGCTGGCTGGAGAGACAGCTGAGCCATGCGTTGTTTGTTTTTAGCTTTTTAGCTAGCTAGTATTGCGCGCAACTAATTATAGTTACACCAGTACCGACAGGGGGGGGGGGGGGGGGTGCGCAATTCAGTGTTGTCGTTCGGCGCGCTCGGTTCTGTTAACGGGGTGGGTACCCTGACGCATTATGTCATGAAATTAGCATATCATGATATCATATATTCGCCCGGGCAAGCTTTTTTTTACCGGTATTATCGTGAACGATATGATATGGCCCAGCCCTAATGTAAACTAGAGATGCATTCGAACCCAAAAAATCAGACCTGACCTGGACCCAGCCCGTAGTCATCATTTTCTAACCCGACCCGATGAATTAACAGTTATTACAATTCCGAACCCAAAAAAAACCCCTGACATTTTTAATCAAGCTTTGACTGCTTATATAGGTATTAATGGTCGGTGGACGCACGCGGTTGAATAAAAGGGGCAGAAGATCGGAGCTGAGGAGGTGTTTGTCTTTTCATGGCCGTCAAAGCGTATTAAACCTCTTCTTCTGCCTGCATTCTGCATTATTCAAACACAGACCCTGCTCTGACAAGTCTGCTTTGGGCTCTCACCTGTTTGGGTCATCGGTAGTACGTGTCCACTGAGTGCAGCAGCTGAACATCCATTTGGCTGATGGATCGCTTCCTGGCAGTACATTCCCATCTGAAGCTTAACTGAACTTGTTTTACCTGTTTCAAGGACGGTCAGCTCGCGGTGAAATGGCTGCATGCAGCTGGTGGAAGTATGGCAGGCCATGTTGCCATATAACTGAATCGTCAGCAACGCGCATCTGCTGACGCAATCAAAAGCCCGACCCCGGCCCGGCCATCCAGCACATTATTATGGCCTGGCCCAGCCCAAATTCGGGTCGACCCGGGCCGGGCTTCGGGCCTGGGTTAGAAATGACAGCTCTACTGCAAACTCCATTTAGAGAGGCCCCAGGTCTAAACGGATTGAACCCAGAACCTTCTTGCTGTGAGGCAACAGTTCTAAACTCTTAATAGGTATGTTTACATGGACATAAGTAACCGGATCAAATGACCGGTCGGAATTAAAAGTGTGTCATGTAAACACTCCGTTCAGGTTATTCGTTGTGTATTCAGCGCGATCCGATATAATTTGTGATCAGAACGAAACGGGTGGTTTACGCCGATCCGTAACCCGATCGGTGCACATGTAAACGCTTGATCTGTTCGTTTTTATTTGATCGTGAAAAACTGACCTGACTGCGCATGTGCGACTTTGCCATTTCTGCCTGGCTAATGCTAATAATATTAGCATGTCAGGGGAGCAAAACTGGTCGGTGAGCGACACAACATTTCTACTAGAAACTTAGAAAGAGCTCAAAATGATCTGTATTACCTGTAGCTCAGTCAGGGAGTGCAGTAACGTCTCCACCATCATTAAAACCTGTCGCGGGTCCATTTTGGTCGCTCAGGTTTGTTTACATTCACCCCGGAAGTAGAACTTCTTCTTCTGTGTTTTTTTTAAGGAGAGTTTACCACTCTGCGCATGTCAGTACTGCTGTTCAGAACAAAGCCCGCTGCATGTAAACGCTCGTCATGAACAGATTGTGCCCATGTAAACAATACATTTGAATTATTCAAATAGAACACATTTCAATAATCCGGTCAAAGCATGTAAACATAGCTTATGTCTCCACCTCAGAGCTGACTATCTGTCAGTTTGTTCAGGTTCTTTGGGTCTCAGATCCTTATTCTGCCTCAACAGATCACTATTTATTCAGTTTCTGTTCTCTGTCAGGTTCATTGTTTTACACCATATCCCTCCACATCATCAGCTCTATGACGACTGAGCTTATCACCCATGTACAGTGAGGAAAATAAGTATTTGAACACCCTGCAAGTTCTCCCACTTAGAAATCATGGAAGGGTCTGAAATTTTCATCTTAGGTGCATGTCCACTGAGAGAGACATAATCTAAAAAAAAATAAAATAAAATCAGGAAATCACAATGTATGATTTTTAAAATAATTTATTTGTGTGTTACTGCTGCAAATAAGTATTTGAACACCTTCCAATCAGCAACAATTCTGGCCCTCAAAGACCTGTTAGTCCGCCTCTAAAAAGTCCACCTCAACTTCACTTATTATTCTAAATTAGAAGCACCTGTTTGAGGTCGGTAGCTGCATAAAGACACCTGTCCACCCCACACAATCAGTAAGACTCCAACTACTAACATGGCTAAGACCAAAGAGCTGTCCATCGACCCCAGAGACAAAATTGTAGACCTCCACAAGGCTGGAAAGGGCTACGGGGGCAATTGCCAAGCAGCTTGGTGAAAAAAGATCAACTGTTGGAGCAATTATTAGAAAATGGAAGAAACTAAACATGACTGTCAATCTCCCTCGGACTAGGGCTCCATGCAAGATCTCACCTCGTGGCGTATCAATGATCCTAAGAAAGGTGAGGAATCAGCCCAGAACTACCCGGGAGGAGCTGGTCAATGACCTGAAGAGAGCTGGCACCACTGGTTCCAATGTTAATGTGGATACACTAAGACGTTATAGTTTAAAATCATGCATGGAGTACATGTCCAGGCCCGTCTTAAGTTTGCCCATGACCATTTGGATGATCCAGAGGAGTCATGGAAGAAAGTTATGTTGTTAGATGAGACCTAAATAGAACTTATTGGTCTTAATTCCACTCAGCGTTTGGAGGATGAAGAATGATGAGTACCATCCCAAAAAACACCATCCCTACTGTGAAGCATGGGGGTGGAAGCATCATGCTTTGGGGGTGTTTTTCTGCACATGGGACAGGACGACTGCACTGTATTAAGGAGAGGATGACCGGCGCCATGTATTGTGAGATTTTGGGGAACAACCTTCTTCCCTCAGTTAGAGCATTGAAGATGGGTCGTGGCTGGTTCTTCCAACATGACAATGACCCGAAGCACACAGCCAGGAGAACCAAGGAGTGGCTCCGTAAGAAGCACATCAAGGTTCTGGAGTGGCCTAGCCAGTCTCCAGACCTAAACCTTATAGAAAATCATTGGAGGGAGCTCAAACTCCATGTTTCTCAGTGACAGTCCAGAAACCTGGCTGATCTAGAGAAGATCTGTGTAGAGGACTGGGCCAAAATCTCTGCTGCAGTGTGTGCAAACCTGGTGAAAAACTACAAGAAACGTTTGACCTCTGTAACTGCAAACAAAGGCTACTGAACGAAAAATTAACATAAATTTTCACAGGTGTTCAAATACTTATTTGCAGCAGTAACACACAAATAAATTATTAAAAAATCATACATTGTTATTTCCAGATTTTTTTTTATTTTTTTAGATTATGTCTCTCACAGTGGACATGCACATGCAGATGAACATTTCAGACCCCTCCATGGTTTCTAAGTGGGAGAACTTGCAAAGTCGCAGGGTGTTCAAATACTTATTTTCCTCACTGTACTGTGTCGTTCCTTTAGAAAATATCTCATGAACCATCAGACAGATGTTAAGGAAACTTTCAGCAACTAATCACTGGATGAACTTTTACTAAACGCTCTACCCAGTTTAGGATGGCCACCACAATTGGTCAACTTCAGCCAGAACACAAATGGTTGTATCTGTGAATTTTACAGATATGGAGCTAATCTTTGGTGTGGTGGTAGCAAAGACGTTCATCACGTACAGAATTGTGCAAGATCTTTGTTTAAAACTTTGGCAAGCGAGGGGGTGGAAGATATTCATTCCTTACAAGGAAGGCTACTTCAGTCCCAGTCAGATTTCTAAATGTGTTTTGGTCTTTAAAATGTTGCTGCCTTCTTCAGGTTCTGAATGTTCTGTTTAAAGGGCTAAAGATAAGGAGTACGGAGTCTCCAGAGGGGTGGATTTCCAAAATGTTTCCAATGTCATCAACTTTGATTTCCCTGCAAGTGTGGACTCGTACATCCATCGAGTTGGGAGGTTGGTGCGGTTCAGGCTGCTGCTGTTGTTTGTAGTGTCGTCCTGATATTTTCTGAATCAACCAAACTCGTTCTTGTTTTGTTTTGTAGGACAGCGAGAGCAGACAACCCGGGCACTGCCTTGTCTTTTGTCTCTCAAACTGAGCTTGATCTGTTGGAGGAGGTGGAGGAGGCCCTCAGCGGAGGTAAACTTTACTCTCAGGCGTGTCGTTATTTCCCACTGCTCTAAAAGGTGGGTGATAATGTAATTACCTGTGTGTGTCTCTTTATCTGCCTGTCTGTTACCAAAACATCTCAGGAACTTCTGGATGAGTCTCAGAAAGTCATCTTTGGTTGTGCGTCTACAACTGATGAGCTTTAGGAGTCAGTCTGCAGCTAATAAACATTAGCAAATGCAAAAATGACTGTAGCGTCATTTTTAAAGAAACTGAAGCACAGTTTAGTGTGGTAGTAGCTGAGGGTCATTAACACATTCTGAGCACTAACTGTTGAAAACTTTGACACGTACGGCAGTGGGAAAGATGCATTTCTTCAAATAATTTGTTGAAGTTTTTTTTTTGTATTTAGGTCATTCTTTTTGAGATTAAGTTGTTTGGGCTGAACAGGAAATCCACTATGTTTATGATGTTTATAAAGCATTATTTTGGCTTAAAAAAGCTCTTGTATACTTTTTGGGCGGCTGTGGCTGAGTGGCTAGAGCAGTCGTCCTCCAATGCAAGAGTTGGGGGTTCGAATCCACCAGCAGTCACATGTTGAAGTGTCCCTGGGCAAGACACTGAACCCCTCATTGCCTCTGATGTGTGTCCCATTGGTGTCTGAATGTGATAAAGCTCTGATTAGTCTCTTTAGAATGATTTGTTCATTTAGCTTTGTAGAGATCTAGTATAGAGCTGTATGAATGGGTAAATGAGGACACAGATTGTAGTGTAAAGCGCTTTGAGTATCTTGATCAGATAGAAAGGCACAATATAAGTACAGTCCATTTACCATTCTTGGTAATTCCACCAAATAAACAGCAACCATATTAGTTTTAACTGTTAACAAGAGTGTGTTTACTTTGTTTTTAGACAAAGCTGATTCTGTTCTCATGCCGTACGAGTTCAAGATGGAGGAGATTGAAAGCTTCAGGTACAGGTGCAGGGTGAGTGTCTTGTTTGCACCAGATCTGTGTAAAACTACATAAATTACATTTTTCTGTGTATGTGGAGAACTGAATGGTTGAGCGCTAAAGAAGCTGAAACTCATGGAAGCCAAAAGAAGCAGAACACCAGCTAAAAGCTTCAAATGCAAAAAGACTGGTAGCTAGAAGTTAAAAGTAATAAAAAGCTAGACACAAGTAACAAATGCTAACTTAATGCTAAAAGTAGTAGAATGCTCTCCAAAAGTCAAATGTTAAAAGGTATCTAAATTAAAAGTAACAAAAGGCTACCTAGATGCTAAAAGTAGCAGAATGATAGCTAAAAGCTCAAAGTAGCATAAGAAGACAAAAGAAAAGCAAGTGTCCTGAAGGAGGTTTTAAAAAGAATGATTTTGAAAAAATAAGAGATCCTTGTGTATTTCTGAGGAATTACTTTGTTTAAAAAAAAACTATTTAGAAAACTGTAAAATTTACACAAATCTAAAGCAGCCATTGTCTGAATGAGCTGAACGTTTTGACTTATGAACTACTTGCTGAAGACGTTGAACTGCAAATGGGACAAACAGGAAAATCAAAGTGTAAATGCTTAATTTGACACAAATAAAAACTTCTTTCATGTCTTAATGTGCAGCACGATGCGATGGTCTGAATGTGTATCAGATCCACGGTGTGGTCAAAGTTGTATGAATCTGTTTGCAGTTGAACGGTCTTATCGATGCAGCTTTGTCTCTGTAGGATGCGATGCGTGCTGTGACAAAGCAGGCCGTGAAGGAGGCCAGACTGAAAGAGATCAAACAAGAACTGCTGAACTCGCAGAAACTCAAGGTGAGGTCTGCTCAGTGAGAACTCCAAAGAGTTTGGATGTGTTCACACTAAAGGGTTCTGCTGTCACACAGACATATTTTGAAGACAACCCCAGAGATTTCCAGCTGCTCAGGCACGACAAAGACCTTCATCCTGCTGTCGTCAAGCCTCACATGAAGAATGTGCCTGATTATCTCAGTAAGACATGAACACGGTTAATTATCAAACAGCAGACAGCTTTCTCACTAGATACACTGAAGGCTGTTACAACTAAAAGTGAAGCACTTGTTACCAAAGTTGCAAAGGTAGATTTATTTTAATAGGTAAAGTCTTAATGATAATGTACAATTATATGTGCCTGTGTTTTTGTAGACAAAACATATTTATGTACACAGTTGAAAAAGTTCAGCTGTATCAAATGAGAACAGTGTCAAAGAGTCCGACTCATGTGAAGGCACATCCTAACAACCGTAGACATTTGAAAAATGAAAACACTGATGCATTGACTGTTTGAGTGTTTCTGCTTCATTGTATTGTTCAGAATGAAGCAGTTTAGTTAAACTAATTCATCACTTTCATTTATTACCTGCAGTTCCTGAGACCCTGAGGGGCGCAGTGAATCCTTTGTCAAGAAAAAGGAAGATGAGGAGCGAATCCAAAGTAGAGGGACCCATCACAAGCAGATTTAAGGTTAGTCTCGAGTTTTAAAAAACGGCGTTGCAGTTCTTTGATCTGAATGTACAGAGCAGGGAATCATTTATTTGATCCCCTGTTGATTTTGTAAGTTTGTTCAACTACCGTATTTTTAACCATATAAGTCGCATCTTTTTGCATCAATTTGCAAGTCCTGCGACTTATACACTGAAGTGACTAATATACGCTTTTCCCCCATATTTATAACCAAACTTTTGGCTGAGATCTGACGATTTAATTCATTCTGACATGAAAAATATTGAACACTACCATTTTCAGCCACTAGAGGGCCCTTGTGCCCTATGGCAAGCCAAGTGTCTCATTAATAGGTAAAAGTGGCTATTAATGAGACACTTGGCTTGCCATAGAAGCCACCTTCGTCTTGCTCCAGAACTCTTGGAGCAAATGTCAAATCAGCTGCATTTCACCGCACTGCCCTGGCGAAATGCAGCTGATTTGACCAATAAAGTGCAATTATTAAGGAAAAGTTAGACAGAGCCACACATTTAATATAATGTAGAGCAAACAAATAATTGTTTTTAAGTGTTAATCTTGTTAAAATCCTCCTGTGCGTGCTCCCGTGGCCACCATTTGGCAGCCATCAATTTTTGGCACAACACCGGCCCACGTTTCCGGGTTGTCAGCAGTGACGCATAATAGATGTGACTTATACAGTGAAGCAATGTATTTGTTTTGTTTTGTTTTTTTCACTTTATTAGACATATTTGGACTAATGTGACTTATACGGCAGAAAGTACGATACAAATAAATGAGCAGTCTAGTTTGTATGGTAGTTTTGTCTTAATGGAGACAGACTGAACATCAACATTCAGACTGATTTGAATTCCATTGAGTCACATAGTTGTGGTCTTTATGACCTGCCCAGTATTCTGGCTCCTACAGAGTGGATATATACACATGGAGCACACGGATTACATTTAATCTATTTCAGACACTTCTCAGTTCAACTCGTAAGGTGGATAAAGCCCACTTGCCCATAGAATCACCTTTGTTCCCATTTTTGGACATTTGTTATGATGCGTAACCATGACAACAAGGTGATTTTCTACAACTGGGAGCTACTGATTTACATCTCAAAAGCGCAAATAATATCTCAACTACAGCCTCAAATCACAAAGGAGTTGAAAAGGAGGTGCCATGGATGCATTACAGTCTACCTGGAGGTGGTGCCTGACTGTTGAGACCTTGGAGGTGGCAGGAAACACAGCTCGTGACAATGGGAGGACCGACCCTGCAGTTAAGTCCACGGTGACGAGGGGCTTGGCAGGCTGCTGGGAGGAATGGCCATTGCTTGGGGAGGAGTTCTGCCCAGCATTCAGGCAGTCCTGCTGCCCAAGAGGACCGAGAGGTCTACTGGGTCTGGGTGGACGGATCGACATCTGCAACCAGTTTCTTCGGATCCGCTGTGGGACGGATTGCTGCAAGAGATCTTTCCTGCCCACAGCCATCAGCATCTAGAACTCTAATGAAACCAAGATGAGCTACAACAACAGTTAATTTTCCTATGGGATTAATAAAGTATTTTTGAGTTTGAATTGAATTGAATTGAATTGAATTCCAACCTCCCCTACCAGCATGGGCAGGACCAGTGAGCTGTCAAAGTCAGACACATAATAGCAGATTAATCTGGGAGGTGGGTGGATTACAAGACCATCAGCAAGAAGCTTGGTGAGAAGGTGACAACTGTGAATATTTGGACATAAAAAAAAGTACAGATAACCATCAATCTCTCTCAGTCTGGAGAAAAGATCTTCCTCATTGGCTGAGGAGGAGGATGATGAGAAATGTTAAAGAGCATAGCAGGAGCTCGTAAATGATCCGTAGTTAGAACCACAGTCTCTGGTAACACTACTGTCATGGTGCATTGTCCCTGCTGCACCCTCTACATCCTCTGCTCCAGAAGGCCCACCTTGTTAACCAAATGATTCAGAGAAGCTCGACAAAAATTGCTGTGGTCAAAAACAAAACTGAGCTGTTAGGCTCAATCTGTCATGTTTGAAAGCCTGGCTCAAACACCGCTGTCATAGACGAGCACGGAGGTGGAGACATTATGCTTTGAGGCTGTTTTTCTGCTGTGATGACATCACTGTATGGAGGGGCCAATGGATGGAGCCATGTACTGTTAAACTCTTCGACGATAACTTTTTTTTCTTCTGCTGGAATACTGAAGGTGGGTCATGCATGGGTCTTCCAGCAGGACAAAGAGCCGAAACGTACAAGCCAGGTAACAACGGAGTGGCTAAAGAAAAATCTCACTAAGGTCATGGAGTCGCCTTGCCAGTTTCCAGACTTGATTTTATAAAAAAAATCTGTAGAGGGAGTTGATCTATCAAGTTGCCAATCAGTAGATATAAAAACCCTGAAGGGTTTGGAGTTTCTGTGAAGATGAATGAGCTCAGAGATGTGTACAACAAAACTGGTGACAAGAAACATCTTCATGATTAAATCAAATAAAGCTGCAACGACATATTGTCTTTATTTTATCTCAGAACTTTTAGCTGAAATTCTGTTTAAAATCAACAGGGGGTCAAATATATCTTCTCCACTGGAACGCTTTGTTACAGTAGCTCATGATGGTTTGACATATTTGTAGTTTTTACATTTGATTAAATTAAACCACACATGGGACAATTTTATGGGCTTTTTTTTTTCAAAGTCTCATTTTATTATTTCATAGACTTCTTTAAGTAAATGTCTTTGGTATTTGAAATAACCTAATTTAGTATTTTGATTAATTTTATGGTGGACTCAAGGAACTCTAGATTCAATATGTTGCATTTTGTGCATCTAACAGTCGAAATGTGCTCTGTTCCTGCCACTTTACATTTAATATGTCTTTAATTATAACGTTTTATGTACATTTATCAAATAAATTAGTTTAAGATTTCTGAATTTTATATAAATTTAATTTTTTTTGTCTAACAGAAGAGCTCCTCGAGAAGAAATCCACTGAAAAGTTTCCGGTATACTGGACGGAAAAAAAAAGGAGCCAAAGCTTCATCATAGCTGCTGGACAGGATGTTCATGTGGATCAGACCTGAGTGTTGCACATTACAGGCTGTCTGCAGGAAAATGACTGGGCTTCAGACCCATGTCCACATGAGACACAAAGAAAAGAAGACGTATCTGGATGAAGCTAGATGGACAACAGACAGAAACAGTCTGAACTTTAGTCGAATCCATCTAGCTTTTATATAACACATTATTCTGATCATGTGTAAATGTTTATTGTACTGTTTTTATTTTTCTCAAGCTGTCTGTAGTTCTAAACATGAAAATGCTTTTTTTTTTTTTTGTCTTAAAATAAATATTTAGAAAATCCGACCTGGTGGTTTTGTTTTATTAAAGTTTTCCTTCTGTTCATTTGGGGTAGCTACAGCCGACCATCTGCCTCCCTCTCCCCAACGTTCTCCTCGTCACACCAACCCTCTGAACTCTAGCCATGAACCTTCTCTGCTCTTCCTCTTTTCCTCATCCTCATTCTTTGAAAAATACATCCAGTCTCCTTAATTTTCACCTCCAGATCACCCACTCTAAGGCCCTCAGAGTTACAGTGTATCACAAAAGTGAGTACACCCCCTCACATTCCTGCAGATATTTAAGTATATCTTTTCATAAGACAACACTGACAAAATGACACTTTGACACAATGAAAAGTAGCCTGTGTGCAGCTTATATAGCAGTGTAAAATTATTCTTCCCTCAAAATAATAATAATAATAATGTCATCACAATGTCAGCACTGTATGTTTCCATACAATGGCGAAATTAGTCTCTGCATTTAACCCATCCACCACCAGGTGGTGCAGTGGGCAGCTATTGAAAGCGCCTGGGGGACATTTTGGGGATGAGACGTGCTGCCCAGAGACGCCACGTGATGTGCAGTGACTGGGGATCGAACCTGGGACTTTCGGGTCCCAAGCTGGCTGCCCTGCCTCTACACCATCTCGGCCCCCAATAACTCTATACAGCCATTAATGTCTAAACCACCAGCAACAAAAGTGAGTACACCCCTAACAGACTACACCCTAATGTCTAAATTGAGCACTGCTTGTCATTTTCCCTCCAAAATGTCATGTGACCCGTTAATGTTACCAGTGTTGCCAGATTGGGCAGTTTTTATTCTGATTTTGCGGGTAAAAATTGCTTTGGGCAGGTTGGGATAATTTGGGTGGATTTGGAGTCAGATTGGCAGTTTTTGAGTTAAGCTATTAAACACATTTCAAACAATCATTCATCATTATTTCATAGCAAAGCTCCCCTGACTTTTCTCCATCTGCCAGGGCGTTCACAACAGAGAACTGGTGAGGTAGTTTCAGTAGACACCTCAGTGAGTGGGCTGATCTGTTGCAGCCGTACGTCGGAGCGGCCGCCATATTGGATGTGGCAGAACTGCCGGTCAACTGATAAAAGGAAATGCACTGAACTTCATAAAGCACCATTCTACAAAGTGTTTTATGTTAATGCCTGTCATTCACACACATACATTTGGAAAACAAACAGGCACCAATGCTGTCAGCATTGCTGCAGAGATTGAAGAGGTGGAGGGTCAGCCTGTCAGTGCTCAGACCGTATGCCGCACACTACATCAAACTGGTCTGCACGGCCATCATCCCAGAAGGAAGCCTCTTCTGAAGTCTGTACACAAGAAAGCCCGCAAACAGTTTGCTGAAAACGTCAATAAAGGACATGTGTAGTGATGTAGGGACAGCTTTCGCTGTAACGTACTACTAATTAATTATTCTTAAAGCTAGTTCAAGCACAAAGAATATTAATTGTTCAATTACAACGGATTCTTTCTTTTTCAAGTTAAGTTTCTTCCATGTGACCAAGATAACTTGTGGAGTGGAGTGGTAATTGGTGATATGAGACGCCATTTTATCTTTGACCCATCAGAATAAATGCGGTCATTTATTTAACAGAATCAAAATTTAACATCAAACATGTACACATTGATTTGCTGATCTGTTTCTGATTAATAAACTTGGCACGATTTACTAAAAAAGACAACAGAAGATTACTGATTGAGACTGATTCATCTCTGAAGGCATCTAGCTTGATTTACTGGCGTGGAAGTTTAAAGAAAAGGAATAGATTTAAAGAGGAGGTTTGGATGGATGAAAGTTATGTGTTGAACCAGAAAATGGCACCCTTCCTCCAAATCCAGCTCAGCCCTCCTGTACACTTCAGGGCGTGCAATGACTTTCTTACCTTAGCAGAGGATACATCCACTCTGGAACATATGTCCATTGGTACGCTCCCTTTTCAGCGTCTCCAGTCAGAATGGCTGGGGTCGTCAGAAGTCGTTCAACAGAATAAGCTTCCTTAGAAGTTGAGCATTTACTGCTCGGGTTGAGTCACAGCCGAGGCAGGCTGTGACTACGCTGGAATGGACGGACACTTGGCACATGGTCAAATCCATCAGCTATTTTGTTCAGCTGTAAGACTCCATCAGACTGAGTCTCATCTTCGACTGAAAGTTCCAGGAAGACTGGAAAGCCTCGGAAGACTGGAAAAGACTTTGAAGACTTGGAAGACTGAATAGTTCCAAGAAGTGTTGTCTTTTAAAGGGTATCCACTTCCTGTCACTTGGTACTTCCTGATTGGTTGAAACAACCAGCAGGGGTGTAGTTTTAGTGATGTCAGAGGGTTATTAGGAGTCAGTAGACAGCAGAAATGTTTTAAGAACGGTTAGTACAGACAATAATATTTTGAAGAAGTGAGACAGCAGGTGCCAGCTAGTTCTTATTTACTGTCTAATGCCCCTTTTCCATTAGTACCTGTTGTACCGGTACAGCACGGCTCTACTCTACTCGGTACAGTACAGGTTGTGTTTCCATTATGCTTTCAGTACCGGTTCCAGTGGGTGGGGTTCAAATTGATGTCACCACCTCTCACCAGCTGGTGGCGCTGAGACGCAGAAACTGTTTTCAGTACAGGTTGAGAATTTATGTTATTTTGAAGTTGTGTGTATGTATGTATGCATGTATGTACATGTGTATAAATATATATATATATATATATACACACATATATATATATTTATACACACACACAAATATATATGTACACACATATGTGTATATATATATATGTGTATATATATATATATATATATATATATATACACACACACA